TATTTTTGCTGGTCCATATTGTCATATAAGACTGGCTGTTTTTTGTTCTTCTGAGGAAACCTGATTTTTTATAAGCCCTGTGGTTTCCTTCAGGTTTCTTCGCCATCTGCTTCCTTTAACTCTCCTTATAATTCACCTTTAATGTAATGATGTGTGATATATGGATACCTGAACAGCTAAATGTACGAAGTTATTCCAGGTCTAAATGTCCTTGTGTTCCCTACGACAGTAGCTGGGGGTAGTGCCAACATTAGCCAAGGAAAATTCCCATGCATTTAAATAATATTCCTGAATTAAATTTGGCCCATGAGAAATTTGATGCTTTAACCAGGCCTTCAGTCTTGAAAAGAGGTTGCAAGGACAGGGCTAAAAAAAAAATGAATTTTTGCCCAGTCAAAAAAAGTGAACTAATCCTTGTGTAATTTTATATCAGTGAACATGATTCCGTTTTTACAAAGAAACAAAATCTAAGATTTACAGGTTAGGATTTGGCCGTTTGTTCAAGAATAAGAGTCTGTGAGACCAGTCAACATGACCAGTGAGTGGACATTGTCCATTAACTGGCCATTATTTTGATTCCTACAAGGAGAACTTAAAAAGGGTGTCAAGTCCAGAGATGAACTCAAATGGGGGCAAAACGTCGTGTTACCCACCTTAACCCCCTGCTGGCCAACACCCTATTCAACCTCAATATTATATATGGTTTATAAAGTTCATTATAAAGGTGAATCAATGTAAGCTTCTGACCAAAAAGACAATTTTTAACTGCACTTCATTTATTTTGTGACTTAAATGGTAAAATTCTTACAGCCCTGAGATTAAACAACTACTAACCGTCACTCTTTGACTTATTGGTTGCCTCCTTTCCTTTCACTTTTGCTTTATTTGCCGGTTTTTTAGAATATTCTTCCTCGTCATCCTCCTTTGTTAAAAGATTAGATAGAAATGTACTTAGGAAAACTGCTAAATTGACCTCTATGGCCAGTAACCCAAGAGAAACGCGACATAAAAGTGTTAACTTTTCTCTACCTCTTCGTCGGACGTGCATGGGAGCAATGGAGGCAAACCATCGCTATCATCACCATCGCTGTCGCTCTTTTTAGTTGTTCTCCTCGACATATCTGCGTTCAAGACACCCACAAAGTGGCTAAATTTTCGACGAAGGAGATATTCATGTAAAACAGAAGTGAAGGTATATTGTTTCAAACTACAAAAGCATTCATACCTTCTCTTACGCCATGAGCTTTCCGCGGGTTGCTTGGCATCATGATGTTCACCGAACGAACAACTTACCAAAGCGTTAGGGCTATTTTGATAATTATCAAGCCAACACACAAGTATTTCTCCTGAGAAAATCCCTTTTGTAGTCAAATGTCTTAAAAAAGGACACGAATAAATCCCTTAACATGCTTAAGATTGAATTCAAATTCTTATCTTCTTTTCAAAATGGCCGTCATTCCTGTCCAAGGAGACCTCGGGGGACCCTTGAAGGTTTTAACAACAATACTGCGTTGTGATTGGTCAATAGGATGAGGCTTTATGACCCTTGCCTGCGAACAAGAATATGGAATCTCGATGTTGACAACATACTCAGGACCGACCACGCTAAACTATGTTAATGAGTTTTCGTTTAGCTAAAAACGAATACGTTTCGACACCGTTTCGACGCGTTTAGCAACTTCGTTCCCAGGGCTTTTTTCCCTTTAAGCCCTCCGTCCATACTTTCATTGAAAACGCTCTTGGAAGTGGATCAAAACGAATACGCATACATATCGTATTAGAGTGAGCGGTCGAGAACGGTCGAAAAAACAATGACCGAAAATATCGCAAGTGTTTGTAGCATGTGCATAGTGTTTTACTTGCTTCTATCGTTGTCGAACGTTTTAGTGTGGATTCAAAACGGTAGCGTGTACGCGAATCGATCGATGCGTTTTCGACGTCAAAGAAAACGCATACTTTTGAAAACGCATTAGTGGGCAGGACCTTAGTCAAGGTATAAAGAGTAACGAACCGTATTTCCTCGAATAATAGCCGGGGGCGATTATTCGAGGGAGGCGATTAGTCCACTGGAAGTCGTGCCCTAAATATTTTGTTTTATTATAAATGAATTAAATCATCAAATTATTACATCGAATAAACTGAACATGGGCTTCAAAAGTGTTCCAAATTTCATTCCTTGATTAATTTTTAGAGCTTGAATCATCACTGATCAGTTTTGCTGGACCTCTGATTCAACTTTAATTTTACAGGGAGGGGATAAAAGAAAGAGAAGATGGCAAGAGGGGTGGGGCATGGGGGGTGATTATTTGAGGGAGGCGATTATTTTACATATTTTCATCAAAAGGGGGCGATTATTCGAGGAATACGGTAGCAGTGAAGGACAGGATTAAGGAGGAAATATCCAATCATGAAAAAGCCTCATTTCTGCAAGAAGGAAAAGGAGAGAAATCTCTTATACCCTGTAATCCCATGGGGTGAAGGGGGTAATTCCCAGGGAACTCAGCAACCTTACAACAATTAAAATGTCTTGAAAGAGCTTATGCCCGATCTGACCCTGTGGTCCGACTTCACAAAAGGCTTGATAATAGCTGTGGTCACACTATACACTTTTACCTACGTAAAACCGATTTACCTAGGGCAAATTCATTAAAACCCTCCCGAGGTAAATTCATCTCGGATTTCGTTTTACCAAGGTAAAAAATTCTGGGAAGGTCACCCTACTGATATCGGCTCCCAAGGTTTTCACGCACAGATGAATTTTTTGGAACGTAAATTTAGGATGGCAAGATGCGCAGGGATCTAGCGGATCAAAGAGATGTTTTTTCCTTTTATCTCGCTGTTACAACGTGCTAGGTAAAGACTAGCCTGTGCCAGGCTCTCAGATAGTACAGCGGGAACGTATTAAAACGAGCAAAGCGAAAATAAGACGCGCACGACTTGGGAAAGGGGACGGTGGTGTCTCTCCCCAGCCCTCGCGCGTTTTTCGCATTTTTTATTACTGAACGACTTTCCACCACCATCTCGGAGCCTGGAACAGGCTAGGTAAAGACGGGCAAACAACCTCGTTCCCAGGTTCTCTCTCCTACCCGTCGAGTAACCCGTCGAGAGAATAGGGACGGGTAGGAGAGAACCCTGGGAACGAAGACCGTAGGCGACTCGTGCAACCAAAACTTCTTTCACAGAGTGAGCTATGGTCGGTTCTGTCATCACGACTTTCGCCGATGAGCGTCTATTGGTTAGCAACCTCGGTATTTCATTTTTTTTCCTAGCTAGCGCTCTGGGGTAGCTGTCAAGGGTAACTCTTTGGTTCTCGAGACATATCCAAGTCGCAGACGATAACATTTCCCCGAAGTAAGTTACCTAGGGAAAAATCGGTCACACTTAAAAAATCAAGCTTCCCTAGGTAAACTGTTCACAAGTCGAGTTTACCTAAGTAAAAAGTCTGTAGTGTGACTAATAGACCTTTTAACCGATACGGCGGCCATATTGGATTAATTTGATTTAAGGAGTATTATAGGATTCCCAGGGGGCATGAGCACATTTCGTTTGTATTTTCGAGCGCTTTATGGGACATTTTTTCGTAAAGCTTTCTTAGAATAAGATTGCAATGGAAAAAAAAGATCCCTGTGCCGTGTTTGGATGTAATAATGATCGCCTTTTTTGCCGAGAAATATACAGTGAAAGACCATATTTCTAATACTAAACTAGAAAAAGGCGATCATTATTATATCCAAACACGGCACAAGGATTTTTTTTCCCATCACAATCTTATTCAAAGAAAACTTTAAGGAAAAATATATCAAAAAGCGCTCGAAAATACAAACGAAATGTGCTCATGCCCCCTGAGCATCCTATAAAAATCCTTAAAGCGAATTAATTCAATATGGCCGCCGTATCGGTAAAAAGGTCTATTATTAGCCATTATATCGGCTCCCAAGGTTTTCACGCACAGATGAATTTTTTGGAACGTAAATTTAGGATGGCAAGATGCGCAGGGATCTAGCGGATCAAAGAGATGTTTTTTCCTTTTATCTCGCTGTTACAACGTGCTAGGTGAAGACGGGCAAACAACCTCGTTCCCAGGTTCTCTCTCCTACCCGTCGAGAGAATAGTGACGGGTAGGAGAGAACCCTGGGAACGAAGACCGTAGACGACTCGTGCAACCAAAACTTCTTTCACAGAGTGAGCTATGATCGGTTCTGTCATCAAGACTTTCGCCGATGAGCGTCTATTGGTTAGCAACCTCGATATTTCATTTTTCCCTAGCTAGCGCTCTGGGGTAGCTGTCAAGGGAAACTCTTTTGTTCTCGAGACAAATCCAAGCCGCAGACGATAACATTTCCCCGAAGTAAGTTACCTAGGGAAAAATCGGTCACACTTAAAAAATCAAGTTTCCCTAGGTAAACTGTTCACAAGTCGAGTTTACCTAAATAAAAAGTCTGTAGTGTGACCAATTCTTAGCCTGCGTAGCATGGCGCGTTTTGGGGGCTGCGCCGCTCAGTCGTGAACTTGTCAAAACTTCCATGCTAACCAATTATGAGTGGTTCCCTGCGGTAGACTCAACTTCAGAGAGAGGATAGATTGTGTTGGAATCTCATTGCACATAACGTTATTTTTGAAAAAAAATTGGGAAAAAATAGTGCACTGGACAATATTTTTTTAAATTAAAAAAAGCATTGGAGAGCAAGATAAAATTTGTCCGAAAAACTGAAAGTTAAAATTCCTTCTCCCTTTTCCCCTCCCTCCCCTCCCCTCCCCTTTCGTCGCCAGCCACGCAGGTTACAAAAAATCGGTTCATTAAAGACACCTTAAAATCAATAACCACCGTGACTAAAAAATGGTCAGTTTTAATTTGACACCACTTTCTAATCTCGTGTAAGCAGAAGCTCTGGTATAGTGTGTGAACCGCCGGCCTTAGTGTTGGTCTGACACAACACAGTATTGAGGTCAGGGGGAGTTACGCTTAGCTGCAATGTCCCAAATTAGGGTGTTGATTCGGATTAAAGCGAAACAAAGTCATCTTCATTCTCTGGAAATACTACATCGCAGATCTTCTGCAACTTGAAAGTAACACGATCTAAGAAAAGAAAAAAAATTAGAGCTTTGTGAGATCCGCAAATGGACTGTGAACAGTGACGAAAGCGGCGTTTACACTTAGCAGCTAGAACTACACAATCTCAAATCGCCATGACCTGGCTGGAAGACCTGAAAAACAGTCGAATAAAACAACCAAAACACACGAAATGAACCTTCCGCCACAATAAGGGAGTTTTAGCATCGACGACGGCGACGGCTGCGAAAACGTCACTTTTAAAATGACTCGCGTTTTTTCAAACTTTGTCGCGTTTATTCCAATTCACTGAAAATGTGAAATGTGGGCGAGTTTCCCCAGCCTGATTCTCAGACGTCCGAGGTCGTTCGCGGTCCCTAACGACCTCGGACGTCTGAGAATTAGACTAGAGTTTCCCCGGAGTTGATTTCTTGGGGACCGGACCGGTTTAGAAAGGGAAAGAAAAAATCGTCCTTCCTTGTTTACGTTCTCTATAAAACGTGAAATTAGGCATTTTCACCTCATAGTAGTGCAGTGACAGCAGAGAAATGTACAAAAAAGTGTGATGCGCGTGCAAAGTTGTTGTTTTGCTAATTGAACCTATTGCTTTTTTGCCGTTGTCGTTGCCGTCGGCGTCGTCGTTGTTAAAGCTCCCTTTTCTCGGAGGAGCAGTCCCACAACGCAAGACAGCTTATGTGGGCCCACCCATGCAAAACGAAGCTCTCAGGATATAACAACTTCTTTTGCCAGCTCGCTCGTTTTTGCCCCTCAGTGGTCACTGAGAACTGAGTATAATAAGACACGTAAAACAAACTTACCCACAAAGCGAAGAAAATTCACTGGAACTTTCTTACAGCGTACAAATATTAAGTACAGCGGTATACCAGATAACAGGAACAATACACAGAAAAGGGATTCCAGTGGCGCCTCATAAATGGGTGCAATGACCAAGTACGCAGAAATCAGCACCATGAAAATAGGAATTCCTATCCATACCTATGGAAGAAGAAAATGGATCAATTAATAGGCCATTTCCGAATCACTCCAGGCCCCTGTTCCAAAGCAAGGCGAAATAGGAAGTCATTGTTCTGAAAATAATCTTTTATTCTTAGCAAATAATGCACTTGGCCTCGTTATGAAGGTGAGAGTGTTTGGAATTCGGAAATGGCCAATTGTGCATAGAAAAAGGCGGGAAATTTGCACGGTTTATCAACATTGTCCCCAGGGCTTTCCCCGAGAAAATGGGAGGGGCGAGAGAGCCCTGGGGACGAGAATGCTTTCGACGCACTTGGGGGGTTCAGATGGTAAAAGAATCTACGTAGCTTAATGACAGTTTTGGTAATACTTATTTCTTTAGGGAAGAAAAATGATGGGAAAAATGATGTTGTCCTGTATAACCCTGAGAACCAAATAAACCATAAATCCTACTGAGTGTTATCTCTTAGTTCCTTTGTAGCACTTACTTTTTTCAAGTAACCAATTTTGTCAAGCTAGAGTTTCATTATAGGGAAAAAGTAGCCGGCATACCTTCGACCGTCATTTTAAACTCTCGCTACCGTTGTAGGTTTTACTTTAGGGGGTGGGAGTACGTACCTTGTATGGCCTCCTGTCATTAGGTCTTTTGTACCTAAACCAGATGACACTGGAGATGGTAAGTCCATAAGACAGCCAACCAAAGAAACTAAAGTAGTTCAACAGTGATTCGAAGGACGTAGAGTCAGGTATTAACATCAGCAATGAAATAATGCTCTAGTAAAACAATCAAAAGGAAAAACAATGAGGAAAAAAGTTTGGGGTGATCCTGTAGAAATGGTTAAACTTCGTGCAAACGAACGCAACAACTCCCAACATCAGTGTTGGAGCAACAATGTTGGCAGTTTTTGCGCCCTTGTTGGCAGTGGTGTGCTAACTGATACAACAACGTCAACAACTCCTAACAATGCCAGTACCTGCAGTGCATCGAGGGAAGGGTACAACCCAAAAGACTTTGGAGAATATTTGTAATGCGCATGCGTAGCTCCAACATTGTTAGACTGTTCACAGTCCTCTATTTTTCCGTAAGATCATCGAGATGGAGCGCTTTGCGTTACGGGCTGCCATCTTGCATGAGCGTCAAAACTACTTAGGGGATGGGGGCGGTTTGGGAGGAAGCGACGCCCGCCCCCTCGGTACATTTGAAGTGACGGTAGGACGAGGTATATCTAAACGATCTCACGAAAAAATAGGGGACTGTGAACAGTCTACAACATTGTAGGAAGAACTGTGCAAACAGATGCAACTTTGTTGCGCTAAGGTTCGGCAAGAGAGAATAGATTATTCACATGGCCTCAGCCATCACGGAACAAAAGAAATGTTGGGATTTGTTGGCCCAAAGGTTTGACCGGTTTCAAACTTTGCGCAAAACTGCCAATGCAACGCGTAACAACTTACAACAGGGTGTACGAACGGACGCAACATGCAACATCAAACAATGTTAGGAGTCGTTGGCCAACGATGTTGCGTCCGTTTGCACGGTAGGGGGCTTAAGTAACTTAACGGGACGACGGCAATGTCGCAACAATGTTGCAACGATGTGTTGCGCTAAAAATCGCCGTTGCGAATCCTCTCGTGAAACATCACCTTTAGATTCGAGGACGAGGACAACTAGGAATACGAGATTAGACTTAAAGTTTTTTCGCGTATTCTCAAAATAAAGATTTCCCGGAAATTTTCGTTTTACCATTTTCACTAGAAAAGTTAGCACTGTTTCTCTGAACTGTTATCTTTAGTGAAGGAGATTACGAGCTCTCCGGATCGCAAAATGATAAAACTTCTAACATTTGATATTTTGTTTTCGCCACGACGACATTCGCGCTAAAATTCGTAGCAGAGACCGTAGCAGAATGACGACGGGTACCACTTTTTCCCGCCCAAATGACTTTGGTTCACGCGCACTCACTACTTAGTACTAAGAAAATCTCGTACTCGTAGTCGTACTCGTCTTAGAATCTAAAGGTTTCTACTGATTCCCTCGGAACGTATCCTTCATGCGGTGTAAGGACGGGGGAACCTACCGAGAATACCACTGCAGGAAGAGGTGTCCGTCTCTTGGTGTGAATCATGGCGAGAAACTTAGGAAGATGTCCCTCTCTCGCGGCAGAAAACACCAGTCTGAAAAAGGGGAGTTACATAAATTTTTAAAAATAGTGCGATGGTACATCCGTCATCGTCAGAGTGAATTACATAACTTATGACACACGAGAGAAGACGGTAAATTCTATTACCAAGCTTCGTCAGAAGCTTACGGAAAGACTTGAAGAAACTTGGTATAGTTAACACACAAAGATATGTTGTTTTTTTTAAAGTGCGCAATAGGCTTTGCACTGATTATCTTGTTGAAAAGACATTGTTTATTTATAATCACCCTTATTTTCGAAGGTCGTACAGTTCTTCTTCTTATTATTGTTGTTATTATTATTATTATTATTATTATTATTATTATCATCGTCGTCGTTGTAGTCATCATCATCATTATTGTTGTGATGATGATGATTATCAGCATCATTATAAACTATATTACCTTCCGCCTGCGAAAACATTTGCATTAGCAGTACCAAAAGTTGAACAAGCCACAAGAATTGGAATAGTCCAAGCCATAACTCCGTATAAACGATTAGCTAAGATCTGTTGAGAAAACAAAACGGTAAGTGGAAGCCTTGGAATGGACGCCTTTCAAAGAGTGTGAGGACTTGCGATGAGCGGTATACACTTGCAATATCAATAATTTTTTACCCAAATATCTATTCCCATGATTTTAGTGTGAAACATTAGTTAATTCTGTATCAGTGGAAAGCAAAACAAATCTAGGGCAGAAAGCAGTGTCTCCGGTCTTTAACACGGTAGCGAAATAAGCAATTTTTGTCTTAAACATACGGTTGGGGTTTGGAGACCTCGGCGACACAGCATCTACCTACCTTCTCCGTTACGTTTTCGTCAGCTGCAATCTTTTAACGTCAGTTGCGTACTTTCACGTACCCTGGATACCGGAGGTTTATTCTCACTCGAAGCGGGTTGTTTCAGGATCGGCCGCAGGTCGACACGTCTTCGGTCAAAGGCCGAAACTACGAACAGCGGAATCCGAAAACCGCGCATGGATAGTTTTCACGTAATGATCAATTTGCCCTACGTTTGCTCGGGCGGGGAGCGCCCCTGATTTTTCACCCGTTTTGCGTCAAGTTTCGTGCTTAAATTCAAGATATGCTAATAATAATAATAAAATTTAAGAGATTTTTAATTTTTAATTAGTAAACATTTGGGACATGCTCCTTCTGTTCTGAATCGTAACATCGTGTAATTTGTTGTTTTAAGAAAAGCACAAGACTATTAGCTTACCACAGCAACAGCGTCCGTATTCACAATTTCTTGGGGAGTCAAAACTGTGACATATCCAATATTTACCAACAAATAACATATTGTGATTAGTGGAATTCCCATCCAGATGGAAAGCGGAATGTTTCTTGAAAGAAATGAAACAAATAAACTTTCAAAATAACTGCAAAATGACCCTTTTTAGCGAAGAGGGGAGAGCAATCAGCCCGACGCAGTATCAAGCCTAGTCGGTTTCTTGCAAAAAAAAAAAAAAAACATGGTAAAACAATCTTTAACATGGAAAAAGTTTCTTCTTCCACGTATTTCTATAAACTTAGATAACCGTAGAGGGATCTCCATGTGCTTGTGACGAGTTCTCTACTTTGACTTGTGGTTTCTTCCTGGATCGACTATTTCACTGGTTCTTCAAAAACTTTCACCAATATCACAGTCAACATACGGAGGGCCTATACTTTATTTTATACATTGTTACAAACATTTCACAACGTTATTGCTTATAAGTGAATTGCGAAACGAATCTTGGGTTGACTGCATGTAAGTACACGCGATCTTCGTACCAGTTAATCATCCACCTAAGCCGTTAAAAAAAACACCTGAAAAAATTCAGGCATGACAGGGAATCGAACCATTCCCTTTACGATGAACGGACGTTATGTTCAATCCAGTTGAGTGAGTCGAGCCAATTTGGAGGGGAAGGCCAATAATGATTTCGTGATGTAACCAATTAAGAATATAAAATGAATTAAAACTTCCGAGTTGCATGTTGACTGTAACCCAGCCTTTCTTAGTTCTTAGTCGTGTGTTACAGTTGTCTTACTAACCGGTTGGGATTCTTTATCTCCTCGGTGAAAAAGTTCAGTTGATTCCTGTCGAGGAAAAAGTTCTGTTAGGTATAGAAGGTTGAGCGATTCACCTGCCTTGGCTTGCAGAGTGTGAAACTAGTATAGACACTGTATTAAGGCCAGTTTACTACAAAACGATTACAACTAAAACGTCCTTTTGGTTAAAATTACTATTTCCACAATTTTTCATATCAGACTATCGTCTCAAAATGTTAAAAGTTAACTAAAAAGGAAGGAGACTTTCGTATCACTCACCATCCATCGTAGGGAAATAAGCCGTTGTAAAATGCGAAGGAGAGTTTTCCAATATTCCAGCTTGTCCCCTCGAATCCATTTGCCAGTGATGAAGTATATCCTTTAGAAATACCATAATACGATTAGTCTGGACAAACAAATATACGGTTTGTTTAAAGGATGCTGTTATATTTTTGGCTAACTCATGATATTATAGAGCTTTAATATCAGGTTCACCGCCTGAACGCCGAGTGTTACTCCCATTTGAGGGGTCTTCAAAGACAGGATACACTGCCGGGACCAGACCTTGAGATGGGGGGGGGGGGGGGGCTGCCGCAGGACCTTCAAAAAGAAAAGGAGGCCGGGAGTTCAAAAAAAAATATTACTACATCCCTGGCCCTCACATGTTGTCAAAAAAGTGAGGGTGGGGGGGTGGTGTTGGGGGGGTGGGGGGGAGGTGGGGGGGTGAGCATAGAGGCGTGGGCGGGTTGGTGGGGGGGGGGGGGGGGGTGTAGAAATGTTTTGTGGGGGGGGTGGGGGGGGGGGGGGGTGGGGGGGGGGGGGGGGGGGGGGGGGGCGGTCCCCTCCCCTGGATCGGGCACTGGGATAGTTATGCACATGCTGATCTTAATCCAATGCCAGTATGTAAACTTTATTTATCTACTTATTTACATATTTATTCATTCGTATTATTATTCTTTTTAACCTCTTTTTCCTTGATGTTGTAAATCTCTTTTAGTTTCTTTGTAAAATGTCTTAAAGTGTATCAGTTCACGTATGTAGAGTACCCACACTGCCTGCTTCGAATAGCCAGGGGCGTAACCAGCCCATAGACCTGTAGGTCTGGGCCTACAAATTTTTGGTTTGATAACTCGATCTACCGCTTGTAATAAATTATGCTTTGTTGGGGTGAGGTAAAAAGCTTAAGAGCTCAAAGTGTTGGTGAGGTCAGTGTGTACTAGTCATGCGTGCAATTTTCAGCATATGAGGAACTGAAACTCAGCTATAGCCCTATAACTAGTCGAAAAGCTGGCCACGCCCCTGATCGCGTTATCTAAATGTAGGTAGCGTGTATGTTTAATGTATATTTCATTGCTATTAATAAAGTTATTGTTGTTGTTGGGTGTTATTGTGCCTCCCGATAGATGGATGGTGGAGCTCAGTGAGGGTCTCGATCCTCAAATAGGGTATCATTTTTGCTCTTGTTGGGATTGGTGCCGAAATTCTATACCGACTACCTGCCACTACCCAGATCTGGGTGGTGCTTCTGATTGGTCAGGCCACAAGGAAAATTTGCTTCAACCAATCAGAAGCACTACTCAGATCTGGGTAGAGACACGTCATCAGTATGGATTTCTGCGCTCGTTCCTCATACGTCATTTGGAGGGAAAACCAGTGGTGACGTCACGAAATGACGGCTGTTTTCTCGGGCTAGGCTAGTGAAGATGTAGTCTGCTACACAGCCGTTTTAGTGTCGTCATGCAACGCTGCATTGCGTGACGACACTAAAAACGGCTGTGTAGTAGGCTAGTGAAGATGTGAAGAGGAAGCTTTTTACGGTCTTTTACCTTGCCCCAAGCGCACCAATCCAGTCACTATCAGCATCACGATAGCGATCATTTTAGCAGCAGTGAAGACAATCTGCATCCGAGTAGCCCATTTCACGCTTGCACAGTTAACGAAAGTAATAACACCTGTAGATTCAACAACAAGAAAAATGATCACCGCCCTGTAATTGACTAAAATGCAGTGCGGGATACGCCTTTAATAACGGGACTTAACGGGATACGGAATTTCACAACTATTGAAGCGGGATTCGCCAAAAATTTGGGCACGACATCCAGATAGCGAAGACAGAAGTTCGGGATGAGGGATCAGGAACCCCTTTCCAGACCCCAGTATTTATAATGTATGAATTGCGCTCGGCGATGTTTTTTAATTAAAACCAGTCAAATTTAATCATTCTAAAGTTATTTAATACTTGCAGTATCAATTAAGCTTAGCGTGGTAGGAGCACGACTTTTGAAACGGGCGTGAGTAAGAAAAATAACAAAATCGCTTTCAAATAACTGTCTGCGTAAATTATGAAAGTTTTCTATACATATTAAGCTCAACTAGACTGATCTATCTGTTCGTGGGATGTTAGTATTGGAGAAGACATCACGCGATCCATTTTGTGAGTAAAGACATTTTCTGCTGTCGCCACGTAAAATTTGCGTGACAGAAAAAAAAATAGCCAAACAAAGAGAGCATTTGAATAAAGAATTTTACAACGTTTTAAAAATCGAAAAAAAAAAAGAAAAAAAAAACTGGTCGAAAAAAACATCTTACCTAATGCGGCGGCTGCTAATATTTTGACCAATGGAACAAGATGTTCGCTGTCTCCACAACCTGGGAAGAACGGCTCGCTGACATAAGCACCGAACACCAATAGCACCATAATCATCGAGGGCTTCACAAAAAGAACGTATATATAGGAACAAAGGAAGGCTGGGAGGGGACCGTACGCTTCCATCAGGTAAGCGTATTCCCCGCCTGATTTTGAAATCAGAGTTCCTAATTCGCAGTAGCATAAAGCTCCAGAGAGAGCGATCAAACCACAAACAGTCCACATCACTAGAGACATTCCTACAGAGCCCACGTACAGCAAAACCCATTTTGGTGTGGCGAAGATTCCTGAGCCGATGATTGTTCCAACGAGGAGCGCTATGGCTTCCGGAAGGCCCACGGAGCGTCTTAGAGAAACTGGCTTTGCATTTTGTGAGTTTTCTCTGTTGAGGTGGCTCGTTGCTGATGACGATTCAAGATCAAAAGATGACATGTCTCCAATCCAGTATTTACAAGTGTCTGTCACATTTAGTCGGTATTGACTGAAATATATAGCGCTATAAATGGCAAAGATGTAACGCGAACTAGAAAATGAGTCAGGTCTGAAACGCCAGCGTGCGCCAAGAAAATTTGAGACCTCATTGGAATTTATCCTTTTATAAGTCCCGTCCGCTGCGCACCAGTCCTATATCTGAAAACGCCATAATAATCTGGATAAATTTGAAAAAGAATCTCTTTTTTTCTTCTGGTTTTAGCCAAAAAACAGGTAAAATGCCCTCACTGAGCAGAATAAATTTGAAAACGTAACGCAACCTTAAGTCTGAGTGTATTTTTTCTTCATTTTGTCTTACTTTTCCGTCCACTTCAGTGCTCACAATTTACGTGTGGTAATGAAGTTGAGCGAAATTTAACTCTACAGTGTGTAGAAACATATATATTTTTTCGGACAAAGATAACAAGATTGCACGTGGCAGATAACACATCTGTCCGCAGGCTAAGACTGATAACGCCATTTTTACTGACGAATTTTAAATATGGAAGGGAAAGCGGTAGTATCATAGCGTCAAGTTTATACTCACATTTACAGTCTAAAGTTCTGGGGTCTTACGAGACCTTCACACGACAACAGTCACAAAGAAATAAGCTCAAAACTCCATCATGCTTTGCGATCGGCATCAATCATGTTTTTTTCGTGTTCAAGTTTTTTCCTTTTGCAGCGCGAAGCGATAATTTAGTTGTCGCTATATTAATAACACGGATAGATCAAGATCAAGTGTTAAAAAAGAGAAACAATCTCCTTTAAAGAAGGAAAAAATGAACGTTGTTGGGTTGCCATCATTTCCTTGTTTATGTGTAAACATTATCTGTGTTTTCTTCGTTCTCTTGAACTCCAAATCAATCGTGGCCGGCGACGATCAGTTGTCCGTGACCAGTTATGGGTCGTTTGAGATTGCAATGTTGCGACATGGAGAGAAATATGCCGCAAACAGACCCTGTTATAAGTGGGAAGATGTCTCCCCGCTTTATTATGGTTTGACTCACGTTCGGGGATTAATGATAAACATGGAAAGGTAATGTAAACTTTTTACCTTGTTCGCTTTCAAAAGAAGTTTTAATAGAATTTTAATAAGTTTATACAGTCGAACCTCTCCACAACGACTACTTTCTCCTGGCTGTTATGGGGAGGTAGGGGTGTTATATGACAATTTTTTTAAGGAGTACAACATAATTTTTGTGCTAAGTTCATGCTTACTGTATACCATAACCTGGGTAATCCAATCATATATAAGGTACAGAGATGAAATACACAAAAAGCTTGAATTAAAAGATTTATGTCTGGGGGGTCTTGAATCAAAATATTAACGTGACAAAAGTTAAACGAGAAGGATCGCAACATTCGCTATATGAGTATCGTAGACAATTTTTACTTACTGGGGCAGTATAAATGAAACAAAATCAAAATACGTATGCCGTGATTGATACGGATCACTTCGTGACCATTCTTGACTTTATTCTACATTCGTGACTTTTTCATCAATCGCTGAAAAAAACTGGCCGTTGTCGAGAGGTTATTTTGGCAAATGGGGACACGTTTTAGTGGCCTTTGCTGTTGTGGAGAGGTTTAAATAAGAGTAAATGTATGGATTGTCAGCCGGGACAAATAAAATGGCCGTTGTAGGGAGTGAATTTGGAAACAAGTCCTGTACAGCCGAAGTTTTAGATAGTGTTACGTGTCAATAGTAAACCCAATCATCCAGATTCTAGTTGTTATTTCTAGTAAACACCCTTTCAGTTTTTTATGAGAAATTTTTAAGAATATCGAAGCTGAACTTTAAGAAATTTTAAGATTATTTAAGAATAAACCCGAGCCTGAGATTTTGTAAAGGATATAGTTTTGTGGGTAGAAAATTCGTTAAAACATTACAAAATTGTATGTTTTTAACTTAACTGTATAAAATTATTCCTTTTTCTGAACGAAAAAACTAGTCAACAAAACGAACAAACCTGCCCCTGTATAATGACACCAATACATTCTGAAACGGATATGTCATAGCAGTACGGCTATATAATTTATTATAATACAAGAATATTTTCAGCCTATAATCGGAAGAAAAACAAGAATCTTCAGCAGGAGCCGATTACTTGAAAAAAAAATTCTTATATTATGATCCCGAGTGAACAAAACCTGTTCCATCGAGTTATCGTTGCAGCGTTTTAATATACATTCAAACCCCGCTTAATACGGATACCCCGTTATTAAGGACAGTTTCAGGCTTTGTCCCTGGGGAAAGACAGCCCTTACATTTTCTCTATTAAAATTCAACTCGCTTAATACGGCCACTTTCTATGGCCCCCTCAGTGTCCGTATGTTACAACCACATTCATACTTCTATAAACTATAGAGACAAATGGTCAAAGTAAAGTTTTTTTTCAACCAGCTCTACTTTTTCAGAAAATGTGAAGTGTATATCTCCTCACTTTGACTAGCGATCTACCAAGATCCACCTCCTCCCCAATTCCTCAAACGTAGAATTATGAATTCCTAATTATAAGGAACTTACGTTCCCCTGCTTTGCTTTCAGGCTAAACTGGTTTGCGTTGTTATAACTTGAGATTGGTTGAAACATTTGCGCAACTTTCACGAACAATCAGGAGTTAAGGCAAAACTTATCGCGAGTAGTCCTCCCGCATTTTCCTACGATCCGCAAATGCTTCGACATCTGATGGGTTTATTTTGTTGTCTTTGTCACTGAAAGGTACATTTCAAAGTCAGCCTCCCAGTTATCGTTTACCTCGCCATCGATTCGCGCAATTCCTACATTCATGGAGCCGAATATGAAGACACGGGGGATTTACTTATGCTAGGGGGCTGTCACAAGAGGACCAAGTTCCTCATCTACAGGAGCAAGAAAGTCCATGGTCCTGGATTGGTGACTATAAATTTCAACTCTTCTCGTATGACGGGTATCTTTCTACGGGGTAACGCCTTCCAGGTGCGTCCTTACGCGGAACTGAAAGTTACCTTCCCCGGTACCCCCCGGGAGATCAGCATGGTCAGAGAAGGGGAGAAATTTAGCACCAACCGGGCCTGCTATACGATGGAGGACATCCCTCCCAAATACTACGGATTAACACATCTCCGGGGTCCGAACGACGAGACGACAATCACCTTTGACGTGAACATCCCAGTGATTGTGTACGTTGCTATTGATTCTCGCTTGCATCGCAACACCATTTTACCTTCGACATTCATTGCAACCGGAGAGAAGATTGTACATGGTGGGTGTCATGCGCGCACCGACTTTCCTATATACCAGCGGAAGTACCCGAGTGGGGGAACTGTCATCATCCCATTGAGAGATTCCCGGATGCTGACGGTTATGGTCAAACCACTCATCTGATCGATTGACAGAAGCCTGGGAGTGCGTGGCAAGCTCGCTTAATAGCTTCATGCATTAACACTGAGACACTTAAAACATAGGTAGCCTGGTTAGCAAGCGTTTCCATGTGGTTTCGAAAATCCTGTTCTTCGTCCTTTGCTGTGAAACTACACGAAAACGTTACCAACGCGGGGTAAAACATAAGCTGATTTATATTCATATTTTTTAGATTCATATTTTCGTCGTAATAACGGTAATTAAGGGATCACTGTAAAATTTTGTATCTGGAAATAAATGAATAGAATAAATGAACGAATACAAACAAAAAACCTAGAAAAAATTACTGTGAAGGTCAGTTTTAAAAATCTCTCTTTTAATCTTCCGCACCGATCGGTTAACCATGTAACTAACCAAGAAAGCTAAATTGACAAAAAAGTCGGTCATTACACTCATTTTATTCCTTTGATAGAATAAAGTTTGTACATAAAGTATGGACACAGCTCTTTTAGGAAAGAAAATATTTACATTGTAAAAGGGCCAAGAACGCCATTAAATCCACGTTCTTGTTGCCAAAATGGTATGCCCAAAATGTTACATCTTATACTTCGTTTAACCTTCAAGTGAGCATTCTTCACTGCGTATAGAACTTGGTTCACAACTAACCCGTAAAACGTTTTTAGAATAACATTTCAATCAGTACATTCGGGACAGTGATGGAGGTGGGGCCTCGATTCGTCGCGCAACCTCGTTACAGTACTTGTCAGGGACACCGGCGTCTCTCAGTTCTTGCAGTTTTCTTCTTTTAATGTCATCTAATTTTTGTCGCCTAAAAGAGAATTTAAAGCCTATCAATGAATGTGATTTGTTAAATTATATAACCTGCGATGCTGATCATATGTTTTATAATGTTTTTCTGAACACTTGTCAGATGATCAATGAAACAAGTTGATAAACTGAACCAAGTATAGTGTAGTCCTTCCCCCCCAGAGGACTACTCAACGAAGTTTTATACGGGATGTTCCATCCCGAGGTCCAACCCCTTACCCTTTTAAACACCATTTTTGACAGGAGAGGTACATACCCCTTTCGTATATCTTTTATTGAAAAATGATACCATTCAACACACTAAGTTAGAACGCTGCATCTCTTTTAACTGCCGTACATGTAAACGCCCAGACAGATGTTAAGACAGATGTAGCAGCTCTCCTAACCCTAAAAGCCCATTGGTTCGATACCCTAACGGCTAAACAATGGGAAATAATGATAAACAATGACGTGTCATTGTTTTCTGCGACCAATGAGGAAACGCCTTACGAGCAGCTCCTACCCAGTAAGAATGAACTACTAAACCATGAATGAGGTTTTGTTAATTTTTTCAAAGCCATAAATTGGGTCTGTTGGGCAGTTTTAGGTCCTTTTAACAGACCTTTTATATCCTTTATACTATAATTTGTCAACAAGTGAAATCCCTTGCCTTTGATATATATGATGCCTAAAAAGGTACCCTTTTGTGGGCGTAGCCTCCCTGATGAGGCTCTCATTCCCCGGCCCCTCCCCCGCCCAACACACACTAAGATAGAGCATGAGTCAAGCGCGAGAAGAAGTCACCTTCCCGACGATTTCTTTGCTACGATATCATACAATGTCATACATTTGATAAAAGATTTCAGACTTTTTCCATTGATTATCATGATGTTAATTCTCACAACCTTTTCTTTTTGATTATCTACTGATAATGCAAGGAGAAAATGGACGTTGGTCATTCTTGGGAACTAAAGGGTTAGGAAGACTTTGCCTAGTCCCCTAGGCCTCATTATTCCGCGCGGTCCACGCGTTTCGACCGAGGAAGCCTGGGAAGACGCCGCATGGGAACGAGGCAACGCAAGACTTACCGAGCTTTTGCTTCTTGATCCAGCTTGATTCCTTCCTCGAAGAAAGCATTCCTGGCGTGGATTCTGTCTTTCTCTTTTTCCCGTATTTGTTGACGAACTTCGTCGGAGTGCTGATGGCGACGGATGCTCTGGATTTTATCAGCTTCTTCGTCTTTTAACATCTGCTCTTCTTGCGCTCTTAAAAAGCAAATTAAACCTTAGCCCTTAACAATCAGATTCTACAAACCACTCTTCATACAATTCTTATTGTGCTAATGAGGAGAATTTGTTTAATGATCAATACACCCTCAATCAACCCACTACAAAACTTCTTAAACATTTATCAACTGGCATATTCGCCAAACCGTCCCACATAGTTTCGTAACGATTATTTTGTCAATATCAAAAGGAAATGCGTGCGCCCCATCAAGAAGGTTTCTGAAAACCCTCCCTTGAAAATTGCCACCTTTCCCCAAACAGAGGGCCTATTCACAGGCTACTCAAAACTAACAAATATGCCAATTTAAGAGAATTTTTTTTCCTTTCCACGCTCTGAAGATCATCCGCGCACAGAAAAGAATGCGTTTTACTTTAATATTCTTACTTCCGAGCGCGCTTATCGCGTTCTGGCGCGTTTTAATTCTTTATTGGCCTCTTCGTAGTTCGTTTTCTGAATAGAGTTCTAGGAGAAGTTGTTAAGCAAATTGANTTTTAACATCTGCTCTTCTTGCGCTCTTAAAAAGCAAATTAAACCTTAGCCCTTAACAATCAGATTCTACAAACCACTCTTCATACAATTCTTATTGTGCTAATGAGGAGAATTTGTTTAATGATCAATACACCCTCAATCAACCCACTACAAAACTTCTTAAACATTTATCAACTGGCATATTCGCCAAACCGTCCCACATAGTTTCGTAACGATTATTTTGTCAATATCAAAAGGAAATGCGTGCGCCCCATCAAGAAGGTTTCTGAAAACCCTCCCTTGAAAATTGCCACCTTTCCCCAAACAGAGGGCCTATTCACAGGCTACTCAAAACTAACAAATATGCCAATTTAAGAGAATTTTTTTTCCTTTCCACGCTCTGAAGATCATCCGCGCACAGAAAAGAATGCGTTTTACTTTAATATTCTTACTTCCGAGCGCGCTTATCGCGTTCTGGCGCGTTTTAATTCTTTATTGGCCTCTTCGTAGTTCGTTTTCTGAATAGAGTTCTAGGAGAAGTTGTTAAGCAAATTGAAGTTAATATACAGCAAAAGAGGATAAAGTTTATCCTATCTTGTATACTGTCATTACATTCTTTACTCTTCTTTGTCTTTTGTAACCCGTTTAAAAACCCAACTTACATTAAAACTCGTTCAAATTCAGCCCGGTCTCTTCCAGCCTGTACTGCTAAGAAATGCTCTTTGTTTCTAACTTGATCCTCGCGAGCCTTTCGCAACATTTCCTCGGTCGCTCTCCTGCGAAAAACGGGAACATTGCATTAGCATAAAAAGCTAAATAAGTCAAGGAATATATATAAAAAAACAATTCTTTGGTTTTAAGAACTCGTTTAAGGAAAAATAAGTTTAAACCCCAATTTACATATACACTACGAGAGGCTTGTCGATCGCGTGATATGGACAACGCGAGACGGCGCAACGTGCGCGTAAGGTGATAGTCGCGCAGTTCCGCGAGGACATCTTATTTGGTTTCTTGACAAAGCCGTAAATAAGATTGTAAGAACTTGCGTTTCAGTTTAAATTTGTTTGCAACATTGCTGCTCATTGTTCTTGAAAAACCCCCTGGCAGGAGTGAAAAAGTATCATGGCAGCGTGTCAGCAGACTCGCTTGTGGAAGCCCGTTCCAGGCTCTCATATAGTGGAGAAGTCGCAAAAGTGAAAGGCGCGAAAAGTTGGCGGGGCGGGAAAAAGGAAGGGATAGAGAGCCTGTAAGCATTTCTTTTACGACCATCTTAAGCGCCGCCCTTCCTCTCCTCAGTTTCCTCCCTTTTTTTCATGTTCACGCTTTCTAAATTCAGAGGACCCGACTATTTCGGAGCCTGGAACAGGTCACGCTTGTGGGGAAGTAAGCAAAAGAGGTTTGTGCGCGGGCTAACTTTTCGCGCGGAACAAGAAATCCGAGATGCAAGCCCAACTCGAAAGGCAGAAAATGAGAAAATCGTACACAAATAACCAACAAACAGAACAATAGCTCACTTTTTCTCGGCTTCTTCTTTTTCTTTTCTTCTCCATTCTCGTTCAGCCTCTTCTTGATTTCGCTTTGCTCTTAAAGCGTCCTAAAGAGTCAAATCCATTCCAGACTTTTCAAAAAGATGTTTTATATTTTTAATTCCGTTTAGAAATCTTCCTCTGGCTGGGTTCAACGAAGGAAGCACGAAATCTCGCAAATTTTCCAACGATTCGCGAAAATTAGATCTCGTAAAAATAACACCAGAAAGAAAGAAACAGCGAAAGTATTCTCTTTATACTAAGATATTCAACTAAATTGAATTAAAGTGTACCTGTATATCGTGTGTTCGTGAGTGTTGTTGTTAAAATTATGCACAACGAACTTTCTGCAGCCCAGAGAGTTTCTCTAATTAAAGTACAATGGCGGTCAAAAGAACTTGGAAAGGATGGCGAAACTGTCCCGAGTATTTGTTCATACGTCGACGTCTGTAACGCTGAAGTCGGAAACAAAACCCTATCCGCGATCCGCGGGTTTAGTTTCTCGAGCTATAGTACTTGACATGCTTGGCAATTCAGTTAACCTGATATGTTGTATATACCTGCAGTTGTAATTTTAGTCTTTTTCAAAAAACAAAATCCGCTGTACTTGAATTTATATGTAAGGCGTTTCTTTCTGTATGTTATTTTATTTCTTTTCTTTTCTTTTTTCTTATGTAATTTAATAACGCCTTTAGTTAAAGTCTTTTCCTGCCTAGATTAGCATTATAGCTATTTGCAGGACATAAAGTATTGTAAACTTTATCATAAAGTATTATAAACTTTATAATTCTTTAAATAAATACATTGTTGTTGTTGTCGAATTTTTTTCTGTGCCGTTTTTGCTGCGGTTTTCTTTGTCCAATTTACCTTTTCGGCTTGCTTATCTTTTGCTCTTTCTTGTTGTGCACGAAGACGAGCTATTTCTTTTTCCTTCTCGATTCTGGCAGCTTCCACTTCACGCTGATAAGCTTCTTCTCTTTCCTGTAACGAAAAAATTTTTTTGTTAAATTTCGTTCGTGACTATCCTGCAAGTTTTTAGTGAAGTTATTACTTGCAAAATAATCTGAAGATAATAATCAAATCTTCAAAGTTTTTACATACCGCTTTTTGCTTCAAAAACTCCATGACTTTAATTTCCTCTAACTTTTCCTGCTCTGTTTTACGTTCTCTCAGAAATTTGATTTCCTGGGTATTAAAGATAACAAATTTTTTTAACAGAAATTACTAAAAGGTACCCAGCGTTCATCTTCCATTTTGTAGGCTCAGCTAAACTACCAGTAGCAGATATAGAAGCTTAGGAGATGAAATAACAATTAAAACTATCAGTCCTGAGGTGGTCGCCCTCTTCCCCAGATCACGCGCGTCATTAGCCTGAAGTTGATCAAGCCCTCCTTAGGGGTAGTGGGAGAAGAGATTTTCCCCATCCCAGAAACGTGGCCTGGTACTCAAGTTAGCGCATCGTTTTGCGCTGGCCTACCATCTGAGAGTGCGGCGCAGGCTACTAGTGAGCTTAAGCAACGAGAACACTACGTCCGGGACAGCATGAATAGTAACCGGAAATTCGATGTCTCGCTTGATGGTACACTTTTGTCACACACAAAGAATCTGAATGCATTTGTTTTAACTCCCGCTGTATGAATTTGTCAAGTCAGAGCAGTGAAAGAGATATAATATCTACTTCCGGTTGCCATTTTTTGACGTCAGCTTAAGGTCCCACTTATGAGACCGGTGGGGGAGCATCCTCGTATCGTCCCCATCATTTTAACTTCAAAGTACCCCGTTCCGAGGGTTTCCATCGGGTCAACAGAACGCCATAAAATGGGCTAAAATTTGAGCCATTTACGAGCAAAAATTGATATTTACATAGTTGAGCCAAGAAACACACGTACAGTTATTTCGAGAAAGGTTGTCAATGAAAATGTGCACGCAACAATCCCGCGGGTTATATGAGCTATGATCAGTACACCGTTCCTGACACTGCAGCTGTCAAACTTACGTTTGGTGCTTTCCTTTAGCACTCACAAACGTATGTCCATGGACTCTCATGCCGTTCTTTCAAATTTCTTTGGAGAACAGTGACCTCAAAACCACCCACAATACCTTTCGGGATTGTTGTGAGCATTTTTTCCAACAACCTTCACTGGTTATTGATACATTCATTTATGACGCTACCTGCCCTAGATTTGATAAACTTGGACTAGAACAGAGATCATGGAGCCAGGACTTGCATATCGTAAACAACTCAGCCTTCAAATCACATACCAACTCCACAAAAGCCGTTGATTTATTTCTTAATGATCTTGCATTCAAACTGCACAACTGGAAAGCCCTCAACCTCGTTCCCAGGGTCTCTCATCTTCCCATGAGAGACCCTGGGAACGAGGTTGGAAAGCCCTGTTGTTCAAGAATTGGCGTGTTGAAATGCTTTGTTGTTGGCGCTCTCTTCAGGCGATCAAACAATAATATTCACGACCATTGGAATTTATGAAGTGTTTAAAAAGCTCACCTCGTTTGCCTTGGCCACATCTTTCATCAATGCTCTTTGTATTTCTCGCTTTTTGACCAAATTTTCCATATCTTCTTTTTGCAGCTTATCAAGGTATTGTAACATCACCTAAAAGAAAAAAAGAAATCTAGTATGCAACCTTAAATTTCCACAGCAGATCATAAAGAATGATTTCTTTTTTTTTCATTTTCCCCCATGAAATACTAGCATCACTATGTTGGGTGGTTCCAGAAAATACCCACACCCACCCCATGACAGGTTACTAGAAATTTCGGATCAATTTAGGTTTCCGGGAAACTGCCCACCTACCCCTTCCCCCAAGCTAACATTAACACTTACTTCTCGCTAAGGGCAAAATGATGGCTTAGAGGAGGGGGAGATTGGAAGTTTCCCAGGAAAGTATGTAGCTAAACTGGAATTTTCATGGGGTGGGGTGAGGGTTCAAATTAACACCTTCTGAGTGGGGAAGAACAGGGGGGTATGACCCAGGGTAAAATTTATAGGGGTAGAGAGGGGTACGGGAGGCAGAAGAGAAAAGGATGGGAGGCGGGAATTCAAAAAGGGTGGAAAGTGGGAGAAATAGGGGAAATTGCACAACAATGATTAACATTTTGTAATCAAAAAAAGGCTAAAGAGAGGAAGGCAAGAAATTTAAAAAAAAATGAGAATTTGTACATTAAGGAACCAGTTAGATGATACCAACCTTTGTTTCTTGGTCTTTTTTCTCTTCATCCAGCAATCGTGACTGTTCCCTATCAGTAATCTGTTGCTGCAACACTTGTGCTCCTTTGAGTCTTTCAAAGTGTGCAGCTTTCTCTCTCTCCTCATACTCTTTCAGCGCGTTAAGTCTCTCCACTTCCATCATCTCGTCAAGTCGTTTTTCCTCCTCTAGTTGTTCTTTCTTGATCTCAACCTTTTCTATAAGCTGTGCATCACGGATGGCATGACACTTGGCATTTAGTATGAGCTGCAACAGAAAAAGACAATGCACTGAAAGTTATTAAATTATAAATGTAAAGAGTCTTAACACTGTCTTGTGATCAGTAGTTACCAAAAGAGAGTTATCATGGTAAAAACAAATTGACCATGAAGACCACAGTCTATGCCCATATAGAAATCAATAGAAAAGACGATCTAAAATGTCCAACCACAAGCAGTAGTACTTGCTTTGTTAAATACACTTAGACAGTTTAATTTGCTTTTTTGAAGTATGCTTGATAAAGATTAGGCTGATTTAGCAACAGGACGGGAATGTCAGTTGACAACGGGAAAGCGCGCGGAAAGGTCTAAACACGACTTCCAGTGCCCAATTTGCCACTCTGCCATTGGTCAAGCCAGTTGTTTGATTTGTGCGCGCCGTCGTCAACTGACGTTCCCGTTCTGTTGCTAAATCAGCCTAATAACCCTGTTAAGACAACTGAAGCTACCTCATTAAGCTTTTTAATTTCATCCTCCTGTTCTTCCATCTGTTCTTGCGCCTTTTCCAGTAAAGTACCACTCTGTTTCTTTGCTTCCTAAAAAGTATAGCCATTTACAATAATCAAAACTCAGATGAAAATTCCCTCATCAAAACTTCAACTACCATTGGTTTGTTAACATAAAACATCATTAAAAATCTAAAAAAAGTTGTACATCTGAATAAGGTTCCTTTTCATATATGAAATTATTTTAGTATTATTGGGGTAAAGAAAATTGTTTGTTACATCAAGGACTTGGTTATTAGAGGTTTGTTAAATCAAGGTTTCACTGTATATTAGATTGTGTGTTGATGAAAAAATAAATGTCAGTTGAATCTAATCTAAGGATGTTTTTAGTTGATTTTGCAAAACAAAGAACTTTCTGATTTCTTTTGTTTCTGTTTCAAACTAAAGGACCCTAAGCTTTTTTTGCATAAGTAATTTGTACAAAAATTAGTAAGAAATGGCGCAAAAAAATACACGGCAAAGTTTTCCTTTGGAATCAATTGAGGTCACATATGAAGACTGAGGCAATTCTTGCCAGAAAAAAATCAACATAAGACTTGACAGAGGACAGTTCTGCTTTCAGCTCTTTAATTTACAAATTTAACGTTTTCCATTTTTCAGTTTATACAGTTATTTACCTGCTCCAGATCTGAAGGTTTTGCATTCTCTTTTCTTTTCAGCTCCATGGTCTGCATAAAATTTTTCCTTTCCTCTGAGGCATTTTGTTCATATTCTTTCCTCCTTTTCATTTCTTCCCTAGCCCAGTCTCTTTCTTCTTGAGTGGGAACATGTGATGCAGACTGGTGAAAGGCAAAACTTTATTTTCATTTATTTATTAACAAGATTAGAAAGCTATTTATAGGGCTAATGTAAAACTACAGGAGAGAAATGACATACAGGCTCACAGGCCCAGGGGTGGATCCAGAAAATTCAGGTGTGGCCAGGACACTTGCTCACTTGCCAGCTATATAAATACTTTTCATTTTTCTGAGAATTCTATTAAAAAATAATATAAAATTTCAAAGGAAAAGGGGTGGTTGCGACCCCCTCAAAGCACCCTGAAATCTGCCGTTGAGGCCCACATACAAAAACTACTAGCAAAGCTAAGACAATGTGATGAAAAGCTTCAAACTTACTAGAGATATTGAGACCAGGCCTCTGGCAATATAATTTTTTGGGGGAAAGAGGGATGAAATGCCAAGTTAACTGCCACAAAAAGTCCTGTCAAGGAGTTCAAGGATGACAAACAATACTCTTATTGATCAGACTGATTAACACAACAGATTTGCGGAAAAATCGGCCGATTTTGCTGAAAGTTCACAGAATTTTCAAGGCTACCTTTGGTGAAAAACAATCAGTAAAAAACGGCTGATTTAGTGGGAATTTTCAGGGCAATTTTCGTAAGAAATCAATTGATTTTCCGCTGATTTCACAAGTATGTTCAATGTTTCTTAACAGAGATAATTATTTGCTATTTCGACAACAGCATGCTTGAGAAATGAGCCAATGAGAAGGTTTTAACATCATGACTACTGCCCAGTTTTCACAACACAATTTATGCCTGAAGTTCTGGGATGTTGTTTGCTCATTGTGGTGATGAAGTTTGAAGATAATTTTTCAAGTTTACGGCAATTAAACAGTCCCAATAGCCAAGATAAGTTTCAAATATGTTGTATCGACATGTATTTGACAAGATTTCTGGCGAATTTAGTGGGATTTCGCAGTTTTACAAGAATTTTGCGGCGCCGCGGTCTTGCAAAATATCAGAAGCCCTACATTATAACAACCTCACCTTAATTCGTTGGTATTCACCGGCCTCTAAAATAATAGTCCTTCCAGAAGGATCTTCTTGAGGAACTCTGTCAACAAATTAAAATAATAGTTGTAGATTGGAGAAAAACATACAAATTAGTCGCAGAATTTTATGCACTACTATTTGTAGTGTAGGAAATGTATATAGACAGGTACAGAGAAAATGCCCTTGAATAAAATAATTAGAGCTTAAAGGGTCAAAATTAAAGAATTATATAGCCTGGGACCAGGCTCAGCATTGTGAGAAAAAGGAGAAAAAATTGGCGTTAGCGAAAAAAAATCACTTTGCTCGCCAATATGTTTCCTATCTGACCCTGTGTTTTGCCTTTTTCCCCCACTGTGGAGCCTGGTCCCAGGCTAAGAGTTTTAAATGTAAAACAGAAGTTTACCTTAATCTTCTGATTAAATCCTTGGTTATAACTTGAATTGTCTCTGGGTCATCAGACTTTTTTGCTGGTGATCCTTTTCCTGAAAGTATGGACCAGTCCATAGTTAATTTTAAGAAGAGCACTACGATTATTACCACAAAATCTTCAAGCAAACATATAGCCACTGGTGTTGGTGTTGCTCTTAGGGAGGGGGAGGGTGCGGCTACAAAAAGGCTAAAAATCTTACAACTGAAGCTGTCAGCTCTCGAGTGACAAGGGAAGTAGATCTCAAATCCTCAAATCAAAGTAGTGCATCATGATTAAGATTCGACGATGGCAACGGTGGCAAAAATACTGCTTAAATAATGAATTTGGTTTTTTTTTATCTTTATTGCATTGTTCCAACTCACTATATCATATGTCCTGGAGTTGAATTCCTAAGAACCATATCGAAGTTCAGGAAATGAAAGAGTCCCTAGAGTCATCAGTGATGGTTGGATCCAGGGGTCTCAGGCATTTCTAAGCCACCACTTTTATTTTCAGGCCAAACTGAAGCCCATCAGGCTGAAAAATGTTTTCAAAGCTGAGACCCTTTATGTTCTCAAGGTCTTGATAGCAGTACCCCCCCCCCCCCCCCCCCCCCAACAACCCCACCCCCACATATAAAAAACCACCCCCACACTACACCACACACAAAATATAAACATATTACTTAATACTACATTAGTATAACAACNGTGCGTCTACGCGATGACCGTTCAGACAATGCTGTAGCAAAAGCATCCTCTTCACCAGGTCTTGTCTTCTTTGGTGAAGCAAAGAGTGATTCATCCTAAGGAAGAACAATGCTTTAAATTCTCTATGATCTTTGCCAATTTTTTATTAGAGGGCAGGATAAAATGCAGAACCAATTAAGCATAAGGATATGGTCATAAACTGTCAAGACATTAGGCCATAGAAAATAAATGACGAATTTTTCCTGTAAACAGATAACTTAAGATTACTCTTGAAAGCTAAAACATAATATAAGAAGTTCCTCTAAAGACTTATTTTTCTCCAATCTACAACCACAGATCGCTCGGAAAACAAGTTTTCGTCATGTGAGATTAAGTGCCGAATAGGTATGCTTAACGTAACCGGTTTAAAATTTCTTCTAAACTAGGAACTACAATAAAACGCTGAAGTACCTTTCGGAAGAAAAAATACTGCATTTTCAATTTGTCTAGGTGCTTCAGCGTAGCTTACTAACATCAGCAACAGTTATATTGGCGTTTCGGGCGATACTAAATATTTAAGTTAGTCTTCATGAACTTACTACGGTGGAAGTCTTATTGACTGTGTGATATTGTCTCGTCCAAGACTTCCTAGATGCGTTTGACCCGGTAGATTCTACCGACCCGACAGTGCTGTTTGGCTATGGAGAAATCACACAAATTTGATTAAAGTTAAAGTCACAAAGATTCTGGGGATAAGACGAGGCGACTCTCAGATGCATAATGAATGAAAACAGCCTTATGATGGTTAATAGTATTTTATACTTACCATATTTATCAATCTTCTAGCTCTGATTACAACTGTTACTCTGATGGGAAGTGAATTCAAAATGGCGAAGATCAGTTGTGGATGAGAAGAAATATTGCTTGTTTCCAAGACAACAAAACCCAGAAAGAACAAGGAGACTGGGAACGCGGACCCAGTCTCCCATCTGGAACAATTCAAGATGGCTGCCGTTCGAATGCGTGCAAAACTAACTCGTCTTTTACCATATTTTCTCGGCAAGAAGGATTATTGTGTTTCCGCAAATACCAAGCCTTATGTTTATCATCCTCAAAGTCGTACTTTGGAGCCGGAAAATCAAACACTTTACCTCACAAAGACCTTAGAAATGGGGGACATTTCAACTTGCTTGCAAAGTTCTCATTTAGATCTCTCAACGAGGGAAGACATGATGTCAAAATTCAGACAAAATGTGATTCAGGCAAGGCTGATTAATCATGAAGGTGACCATGCAACTAGAGATATGAATGCTTTACCTTTGATGCAGAATATGTTAAGGGTAATGTGGAGTTATTCTGGCAGGTGAGAAAGCATATGGTATAGACACATACCGGCCACTTAAATGTATTTGCATCTCGCTGAATAATAAAAGACAGTATCGTGTTTTTACCTCGTTCTTTTAAGTGTTCCAACGAGTGCCGGGTATTCTGAAGTTGTTCCCATTAAACTGATGTAAGAAATTTGAGACCGAAGAAGAATTCAGACTATAACATGCTACACTGCATACTTTAGAAGTAGCTGGTGTTTGTAAACATGGTTTTCGTTATTTAAATTGGCTTACCATTGAAGCAAAAAGAACCAAGAAAAAAGTAGCCTGGCAGAAAAAAGTAACATCCATACCACAGGTGATGTAATGTTAACTATCAGATATACATTTTTTATTGTTTATTGTTTAACCATCACTAAAAGCATATATGTTGTAGTTAATTTTTTATCTCAGGTAATTTTTGTTTTTCCTTTGTTTCCATGAACAAAAGAAAAGCAAAAATTACCTGTGATAAAAAATTAACTACAACATATATACTGTATTGACAGATGTAGATTTTAAAAGTTAGTGTAGTCTCACCCCAGAACAGCAATAATTTATTGGAAAATCATCATGACACTTGACCTTTTTATTACCTCAGTTTCCCAAGACTCTTGGAAACATCGCTGACATACAAGCCCCGTGTAAGCATATTATACAAAAGAGGTGACACTGACCTGTTGATTTCTGGAAATCCTGGTTTTCTGTTATCATCGAAGCATCAACTGAAACAAGTTGAAGACACCGCAGAAGTGAAGAGAACTGAACAAGTACCTCTGGAGAAACCAGAGATAATTTCTCCAGTGTTTAATCTCAACAAGGCAAGAACAACACAAAAGCTGGATACTGGGTTCTATGAAGGTGCTCCCTTTCCATATCCACATATGCTTTTTATTGTCAGTACAAACAGAAAGTGGACTACTAGTGACTTGGTGGCGCAAGGTGAGGAGGCCACATTACATCCTGTATGATTAGAGAGCTTAAGATTTGAGGAAAACAACAACTATGAGTACAAGATTTTCTCAATACTGAGTATTGCTGGTGCTTGAACCAGCGTCATTTTGGCAGGAAAACATGACGGCCATGATCATTCTGCCACAAAATTTAGTGTGAATGTCGTAGTGGCGGAAACGAGTTATCAAATGTTAGAAGTTTTATCATTTTGCGATTGGGAGAGGGCTTACCTTGTAACTTCCTTTAATAAAGATAACAGCGCTAACTTTTCTGGTGAATCAAAAGTACTATGAAGCCTTCTGGAGTGTATATTATTTTTTGAGAATACGCAATAAAACTTTCAGTCAAATCTCGTACTCGTAGTCGATGTCAATACATCATCTAAAGAAAAGCTTATTAGAATTAACATTGATCTCCTGAGGGAAATACTTTGATCTTTTATTCAATTGTTTCAACTAAATCTTAAGGAAATGGATGGAGATTAGTTTGGAGAGTTTGTATCTAGACTTGAAGGGTTGAAGCCTTTTTCCATGTACCTCATCAAAATCTGGTTTTTCAATGAATAATGTCACCATTGCAAACTTGTGAATTATTAACTCATGAAAAGGTAAACTGACCTAGACTGGGGTATTCTTGAAAGTATGTCATTTTAATTAATTGACTTGTAGCAAATCACAGTTCAGGGGATAAAATTTTACAGGAGTAATACCTGAATGGGGGTAAGGGGAAGGTAAAATAATATTTTGACTGCCTTCATTTATGTTCCCTCTTTAGAGCTCAATATTTTAGAGCTTTTCCTCAAAAATACCACATTGTAAATCTACCTTTCAAAATTAAGATACTCTGTCACTCTATAATGATATAGGTACTAGTCAAACTGAGCTTTAAATTCCTGCTGAAAATTGCCTGTAAAATAGCAACATTTACTTGTATGTTAATGAATGTTTAGGTGGCTGATTTATTTGGTTAATTTTATCACCATCTTTTATAACACTGTAGCCAATATTGATTAACATCACTTTCATCATTTAAGCAATAGAAAACGTTTTCTGTGTTTGCATAGCCTGATATAAACACGAGAGGGGTTGGGAGAATTCGAGACAGTTATGCAAACCCGAGACGAAGTGGAGGGTTTGCATAACCGTCGAGAATTCTCCCAACGCCTCGAGTGTTTATATCAGGCTATGCAAACACAGGAAAAAGTTTTCTATTGCTTTTATAAAATAACTTTCACGAGAAAAAACGCAAAACTTTATGTATGGCACTGATTAAAAGAGAAATTCTTACCAGTCGCAAAATCTTGTCCACGAAGTCTTGCATGTGTAATCAGTTCTTGTTTTGCAAAAAGATGCTTTGCAAAATACGGATTTTTCTCGCTCAAAATGCCGGCTTAAGCAAAGAAAAATTGACTCACCTTCTTTGTAACGATTTTCCATGTTTCAGCCGACAAAGGAATGGGTAAATAAAGTAAACTTGTCGCGTTTTGAACTGGAAAACTTTTTCAAATTTGTGCTTGCGTGATTAGCACGCGAAAAGCCAAACGACTTGACGCCACAACCATGTTTACATACTCTCATGCAAACACTTCTCTCGGCCAATCAGAGCGCGCGTACTATCTTAGTTATTTTATAATTATTAATATTATTACCACGTTTAACCTACAGGTGTTATGTTTACCTTTGGACGGCTTGCAGCAGAAGCTTTAAACAATGGAGCATCACTTGGAGACACTTTAGAAAAGCCCCTAACCGCACAGTGTATTGCAAGTGATGGAATCAGACTGTCATTCCTATCTTATCAACTGAATACGTTAGACTTTGTTTCTGACAGCGGCATCAAAAATATGGTGTGGATAAGTCCAGGGCTTTTCATGTACAACAAGGCAGTTATTCATGAAACTCCTGGCACCAGAAAAAAAGATCCACCAACTTACGAGATTGAATTACATGGATTTAATGAGGAATGCTTTGAAATATTTGTGAGAATGATTCTTAATGGTTAATAAAAGGAAAAAAAATCAATTAATTTTTTATGTGAAAACAGTGTAATTAATCAGTTCACATTAAATCTGAGAGAAAATTGTAATAATTAACCTTTGTGATGCTTTTGTGATACTTTTTCTTACTGTAAAAAAGAAATAAAAAATTCTGGACAAGAAGTATTATATTTATTTGGAAAAAGACTTGACTTATCCCTTGCAAAATAATCTGAAAAATTTTGTGTGAGGGATCAGGGACCAGAGAAGTTTTCAGTTTCGCCTACTGCATCCCTATTAGTAATCATTGTCATGACTGTTCGGTGAGGGGAGAGTATGTTGGTGACGTATCAGAACATTACAAAACAAGCTATGGCGACGGAGGAAATCACTGGAAATATTGAAATGGCGGCTGTAATAACTCCATCGTCTCACGTACAACTCGCTAAAGAATGGCTGTACAAACGCAAAACACAGATGAAGCCATGGGCAGAGTTTTTTAAAAGTTCCCGATTCAGCAAGCCAAAAACTATAGCCGAAGCTGGCAAGAGAGTGATGAAGAACTTGGAAGACTACCAGAGCAACTACATTCTGATAACGATACTCCTGTTCTTTTACTGCGTGTAAGTTGATGTTTCGATCGTTTATTATTTGTAGTTTTTAAGAAAAGAAGATCTCGTTTTCACGTCCTGAAACCGTCTAAATTCGAGGAGTCTTTTATTTTACAACAAGCAGAGAGTTCCCCGGCCGTTATGGTATATATTACAGATTTTAGGCAACTTTCCGTTGTCTAAACGGTAGCGGTAGATCGAAAATTCGGGAAAAAATATTATATGTATGCCTTCTGGGTATGATTTGTCGTATGTAAGGTAATAAATATTATTTTATTTAACGACGAGCATTTAGTTCATCTGATTGCATGTCTTCTAAGTGTATATGAAAGCTAAGCTTATAAATGGTATTATGAATAACGTTTCATGAATATTTTTTTGGGTGATTTAGTAACATTATTAAGGTTATCCTTCGGATATTGACCTTTGAATTTTTTTAGCCAGGAAAAACTTCTTTCATGTCGTAGAAAGATCCCGATCTTCTTTACCTTTAAGATCTCAAGTTAATTCCTAGAAAAATGCACAGCACATTCTTTCAAGGAACGTAATTTACCATGCCTACTAGAAGTTTGTCATTCAGGTTTTAGTAGCCCTTACCCAGTTGTTCAAAAGATGGATAATGCTATCCACTGGTTAAATCTCTGTTCAGGGGATAATGCAGTTGGCTTCCCGAGCACTTATTTGCTGGATGGTGATTTATCAGATGTATAGTGCTATCCAACATTTGGAGTAACTGCACAATACCCGATCACTTCAAAGCTATACCCCTATAACAGTGGGTACATGGCTATGCGGCTACGCAGCTATGCAGGTAACCCTAACCCTAACCCTACGGGGCTACGCAGCTATGTGCTATGTGGCTACAGAGCTACGTAGCTGTAGAGGTCTGCGTGGCTAAAGAAAAAAGATGTATCTGGCTACATAGGAGACTACGTAGCTGTGTAGCCGCATGGCCACTGTTATAGGGGTATAGCTTTGAAGTGGCCGGGTATTCTGCAGTTAAGCTCAACATTTAAACAGTCAACTAGGTTTCTGTTTGTCATAAAAATCCCAGTTGATCTGAGAATATTGTTTTTCTCAACCTTCCCTGATTTGCTAACAGAAAAAGCTTCAACGTCTGTCTTACAGTCTAGCCCTGCTATTGCAGACATCCCTGTGTGACTTAGCCTGTAAAGAGGCTCTCAAGTGGAGTAGATCTACATGAGAGAGGGAAAAAGGCCCCATGCTCGGCTTGCACTGCTTGCCAATTGTCTTTTTTGCCTCAGGGCTGTCACTAAGTGCCGGAGGCCAGGGATTTCTCCCTGCCACTGTGGGTATAACCACCAGCTACTTTCATAGGGAACAAAAGGAAAATAAAACCAAAAGGACATTCTAGTTGTTCAATGACTCGCCTGCTAATTTCATATACCCAGCAACTTGAAATCTTAGTGATAACAGCCTTGTTGCCATGCTCCGCTATGTTTGACTGTGAGTCAATGCCTTTAACAGTGACAGTCCATAATAATAGTGGTTTATCCAGAGGGAGGTACTCCCTTATATAAGCCATAAAGGTATGTGCCTCCCCAAAGGGTAGGGGTTTTGCAGTGTTTTGGTCTGAAAACAGGTATAGACTTTGCTCGTTTTGGTCTGGAATCAGGTACGGCTTGAGTGTATGACCATATATATTGTTTCAATTTCAAATGAGTAAGAAAAGAAGAGACATGTGCAAATGTCGAAATAGATTTTGTTGCTGTTCTAATCTAAATAATGATGACATAATTTCTTAGAGTCCAGGTATGAAAATGGGTGTGAAAAATGACTTTTTTGTCTGAAATAGGGTCTGGATGTGGATAAACGGGCGGCACACTCCCACCAAGAAGGGGAATGGGGAGGGGGTATTTACACTCACACATCTATGATCATAACTTACCATATGGACTTAAGAATAAAAGTTTGGGAGATATTTATAATTTCTCTCTAGGCTGTTTGAACAGGCATGAAAGCCAGTCACACAGTAGAAATCATTTTATCCTATCACGGGGTAACTGTTCAAACTGAGATATTATATTAACTACGCTTACTGTATAGTGAAACAGAAAGTTAGCTCTGTAAGATTTGTTTGGAATTTTCCATCATACACCTTAGGAAACATAAGATCATTTTCTCACCTTTTGTTCCAGAAAAATTTATATCCATAATCCCCCTAAAGAAGGTTTTTTTTCCTTGAAATCTACCCCTCCCTCTGGAAAAAACAGATCATTAAGACCCCCTTCCTCTTGAAAATTGCAATGATTGTAAGGTGGATGTGGTTATTTGTTGGAACCACACAATAATGCATTGTAATCATTCTTTTTATTGTAGGCTCACATCTCCATTGCTGCTCATTGCATTATCAGTTGCAGGGGGTGGCTGTTTATTTATATCATATAAAAACCAAGGAAAAAAGATCCAAGTTCTAGGTGGGAAGCTAATAGTAATTTATGACGTTATCTATTGCACACTTAGCAACTCTCCTGAATTAACTTGCAATTTTCTAGATAATATAGTAACCTTTCTGCTCTTCTGTATGGGACGGCGACTCTCACAGACTAAAAAGCATCTCTGTTTGAACTTTACTGTGAACGTTAGGCTGAAAAATTAACTCTAACTTCTCTGAAATTCCTAAAATTTGGTTAAAGTTCAGGTGTAAAATTTGGAGGGTGGGATGGCTGGATTGGTTGTGTTCCAGGGCTGGTGTGGGGATACCTTGAGGTCAGGCTGATGGGAGGTAGTAACACATGTTTTGAAATATAATAATTTAATGAAAGTTTTGTAGTTGGTGTAATTGATTTTGTGGCCCTATAGGTCGTGAATTGAGTCGAGTGGAGCAGTATGGTCTTGTAATTTTGATCAGCCTTCCTCTCTTTATTTTGGCCTCTGCGGGATCAACAGTGTTTTGGATTATAGGTGAGTAAGAATGTTGTAAGTTTTCATATTTCTCTCTGTAGTAAAATTTTATTTCTAAACTAAAGGCAGTTATATTATGTGGTAATAGGCTCCAAGTTCCCCCAGGCCGCTGTATTAAAGGGAACCTCCACTCTTACTACAGAATAAGTTTAAATCGAATAAAATTATGTTGATAAACAAATTTGTGCGAAATTTGTCCTTAAAAAAAGCGTTTACATCAGGAAAAGTGAATTTTAAAATCGCTTATTTTCAGTTTCAAATTTCGCGGGCGCCGCCATCTTGAATAATTGTGACGTGTTATGGTTGCTCTATTGTTCTGACACAAAGAGCTTTTGTTTAAGAACAACAGGGCAACCGTAACACGTCACAATTATTCAAGATGGGGACGCCCGCAAAATTTGAAAACAAAAATAGCCGAATCTAAAAGTTATTTCTTTCGGATACAAACGCTTTCTTTAAAAATATTTTAGATTGACTTGACTGTAACAGTTATTTCCTGTGATTTAAAGTTATCTTTTTGTTGAAGTGGAGGTTCCCTTTAAAACAAGGTTAAGTACTTAGCATTTGATATGAAAATGATTTTTCAACCTCATGCAAATAAAACTCTTTGCAAGAAGGATTGTGCACTTGGCTTCATTTTGAAAGTGAGGGTTTTTGAAACTTGGAAGTGGCGAATTCTTAACTTCTTTAAAGTTTGAGCCATCTCTTGACCAACCCCAAGGGCATGGCTCAAGGACTGCAGAAGAGTTTTTATTCGTTCTTGCCATTCTCAGACTCAGAAGTTAGAATCGCCCTGTACAGTGTAGTAAACAGTACCACAGGAAAGTACTACTCAGTAGCTTTTATTTGAATGGCCACACATTGAATTTAATTTACGGTTATAACTGTGATGTGAAGTATATGAAATAATTCATAATTCAATAATTCTGTGTTTTATAAATTATATGCCCTCTAATAGTAAAGGTTGACAGGTCATTTTTTTTTTTATCAGGTGCGTCATTCTTTATTATTGGCCTCCACGCGTCACTCTTGAGCACCTTCGACACTCCTGAAATAACAGAAGAACTGACCATGGAAGAAGTTTAGATTTGTCTTAGTTTCAAGTTGCTTAACATGTAACACTGATAACACCACTGGTTTTGAATCATAATGGACAGACACTTAAATATGAATGTTTTGGTTCAAATTTTATATCCCCTCGAATCTGGGTCTTGTGAACATATGTAAGATTATAGTGATAGACAAAGTACAGAGGAAAATAATACCAAACAAAACAACTGCGACAAAAAGTCAGCCACATAGTCGTAGATTTTTCAAATAGGGATGGTGAAACTTCTGTAATATGTACTGCAAGTATTTAAGTAATAAGTTTCTTCACTGTTGTGCTGCTTTAACAGACAGTTTCAGTTATTTTTGTATGACTGTTAACTCTGTAAAACCTTGATCTAAATCTTTAATATTGTACCTCCCTAATAGTGCAAATCAATGCACATAAAAACCGCTTGTTAAGGTTATTTAGGTCAAGGTTTTACAGAATTTACTACAGTCATACAAAAATACTTTGTGTCTGTTTGTATGCACAATAATGCGCTAAACTTAGTGCAATTAGAATGATGCAATGAGGGTGTATGATATAAAATAAAGTTATGATGACACCTCTGGACATACTTGCTAAGAATCATCCTGACAAACATAAATCCAGATTATATCGCCTAAATTGCGATGGAACTCCTAAGAAACCACAGGAAGCCCAAAGATTAGTGTGCTAATTGCCTAGGGGCTTGCAGCAATATAATAAAGTACCCCTCCCCAATGGGATGCTTTGTTAACCACTGCTCAGCCCATGGTTCATTTATTTAACGCTGGCGATGTTCAAGACCGGAAGTAATAGCCCTGCTCATCGAATTAAGTAAGATGACATAATTATCCTGAAGGAAAAAAATGACCAGTTTAACTTACGACAAGTTTTGTAAATGTTAACAAAAGTCTAAGTAGCTCCAAGCTGAAGCAAGGCACTCTTATCCTGTGTGGGAACATAGTAGGGCCATTTATACGAGGAAAAATAAGACGCGTCTTACATAAGACGCGAACTTTCCGTATAAACGGCACATTTCGCCTAAAATAAGAGGCGGCTTTGCTAAGACGCGTCTTATTAGATAAGACATGCTCGTATAAATGGCCCTAATGTCATTTTTGTCCAAAATCTCCTATTTTGTCGGGACAGGTAAAGTGCATTTCCAATTAACAGAGTACTTTTTTAAAAAAAGCTAGGTATTTTGATAGCCTAAAATGCAGCCAATTCTCTTTTAATTCTGGCCACTTCAAGGAAATGATCCTATAGCGTTGATAACAGTTAGAGAAAAAAACGGTACAAATAACACGGGAAAATTAGAGTTTCTTTGTCTGTGTCCAAAACGTTTACTCAATTATTTCCAAAAATAAAATACACCAGATATTTAAAATACAATGAAAAAGAGAATTTATATACAGATTGTAATGAAGTTATGTACAAGGTCGTATGGTTGATTCTCCTCGCCCCGGGCCGCAAGAGGCGTAGCCTCTGTACAGACGCCCCTCCCCTCAGGAAAACTCGGGGAGATCGCCGTCGTCATTTTAGCGAGATATTCTATTGTTGACTCATCTACGCCAAAGGATTGAGCTTTTTTGCTGCCACATTGCACAGCAGAATTACACATATCTTCGTGTCTTACAGTTCAAATTTATTTACAGTGATAACAACACTACAAATCTATTGTAATGCGGCATAGCTTTGAAAATTTATACAATTTAACACTGTCGTAAAAGGTATACACTAGGAATGTTGCTTAAGACCTATCAGTTTCATCGTCCGCATTTTGCTCGTGCTCGCTCATAAATGAAATTGTACTTTGGGAACTAGGCGGATGTGATCTCAGCGTGCCATACGGAGAAAAACTTCTGGGAATTACTGGCCGCTGTGTGACGGAAGACGCAAAGGGAACCCTACGATGCGGTTCGCCTGGAATTACACTTTGCAGCTGCGGTCCATACAGTTGGGTTCTTGGGGTTCCATACGAGGGAAAACGGATTACTGACGGGTGTGTGACTGAAGACCTAGCAGGATCACTAAGATGCGGATCGCCTGGAATTACACTTTGCGGTTGCAGCTCATACTGTGGCGGTCTTATTGTTCCAAACGGGGAAGAACGTCCGGAGAGACCTAGTGGGTGGGT